GGTGGAGTTATGACGGTTCTGATCCAACATAATACCACCATCCCCACCAAGCAGGCACAGACTTTACCACCTATTCAGACAACTAGCCTGGTATGCATATTCAGGTTTATAAAGAATCACAACCTGCTTGGCAAGTCTGGGTTCCCAGGAATCCCTCCAGCACCCAGGGGTGTTCCTCAGATTGAAGTAACATTGGACATTGATGCAAATGGCATCCTCAATGTTCCTGCTGTGCATAAGAGCACAGGCAAGGAGAACAAGGTCACCGTCACCAATGAGAAAGGTCATCTGAGCAAAGAAGACATTGAGTATATCGTCCAGGAGGCTGAGACAATATACAGGACTGAGCATGACAAGCAGAGAGACTAGGTGTCTCCCAAAAATGCTCTTGAATCTTATGCTTTCAACATGAAGGCTACCATAGAGGATGAAAAACTGCAAGTCAAAATTGGTGATAAAGAGAAACAGAAGATCCTTGACAAATGTAATGAGATAATCAACTGGCTGGATGAGAACCAGACTGCTGAGAAGGAAGAATTTGAGCATCAGCAGAAAGAATTGGAGAAGGTCTGCAACCCATCATTACTAAGCTATATCAGAGTGCAGGGGCCTGCCAGGAGATATGTCTGGTGGGTTCCCTGGAGGTGCTGCTTCTGGACCCAGCATTGAAGACATCAACTAAACACACCACAAGAAAGAGCATTCCACACAGCTTTCCAATAATTGAAGGACTCAAATTTGTAGCCAAGGCAGGAGCAGTTTAAAAATAACATTTACTGTGTAAGTCCGGGTATTCTGAATACTTAAATTTGTGCAGAGGGAGAGAAGTGGACAACATTGCACTTTATCAGTACTTTAAACCAGTGAAAATGCAATTCTTGTGCTGGAGAATAAAAGCTATTTAAAATTAGCACCACAAAAAAAAAAAAGCATATACCTCCCTCCTCCCACTGACACACACTGACACATTGCTTCAGATCTCTGAGTCCATGGATATGGAACATTGCAAAGAACATTAGTTTTTTCGGGGATTGTTTTGTTTTCTCCCCTCTTCTTTCTATTTTTCTTCTTTTTAAACTCTATTCTAAAAAGCAGACACACACAGGGGAAATCTAGGCCATGTGAAACTCAAACATCACTAAGAACTTATTTAAAATAGCTCTGTAACAATCCCTTGGTGCCCACACATCCAGCTCACATCCTCACTCCTAGGATTCTAGGGGTCATCCTGGGGGTGGCTGTCTTACCCAACACTAGGCCACAAGCCTCCATCCATGTCCTTCCACCTTAGCAATCAGCCATCTGACTCAGATATTTAATAAGGCATCAACTCAAACTTCATAGCAAGAACACAGTCCAAATCGTTTCCCCTCCCCTATACCAGGGCACACTTTCCCACAAATACATGCAGCGTCCAGGAGGGGAAAGAATGAGCAGCAAATAAGGGACACAAGTGTGGGAGACAGGCCCGGTCCAGGCAACTCCCAGCTCCAGAAGTGGGCCCTTCACGTCCTTTCCTCCAGAATGCTTGCTTCATCTCCATGGATTCAAAAGCTCTTTCAGTGGGGGGCAAAGACTTAGCTTAGGGATGGCAGAAGCTTCTTCCCTTTGACTCCCTCAGAGCCTCAGCTCAGAAGATGGAGTGTCAGGTGTGAGTAACAGCCACAAGGCCAGGGGAGCTGAGTCATACACTTCATGGGGGAGGGGGAAGGGTAAGAAGACTGGAGCTCTGGAGAGAAAGCAGGGCTAGGAGCAGGAGTAGTAGTATTGCTTGAATAGCAGCAGTCACCCTCAGTGTTTAGCGACCATTTGACAAGTTTACAGAGCTTATCTTATAGCAGAAAAAAAGGAACTATATTCAGGAGACTGATTCTTAAGTTTTACATGAGGTAGGTAGAATTGCCCATATTCAGCTGCTGTGCAAATATTCCATTATTTCTCAAGTATTCCATTATTATAATACCATGAAGCAATTTGTTCTAGTAGAAATAAGCTGGTTTTGGTGACAGAGGACCTGTGTTCAAATCCTGCCTGTGAGGCTTACTGCTCGTGGGACCTTAGGAAGTCCTGAATGGGTCCAACACAATGGGTCCCACAGCTCATAAGAGAGTAATTCAAATTTGAACTTGGATCTTCCTGGCTGCAAGCCCAGCAGGCTCTACACCAAGCTACTTCAATGCCTAGATCTGTCACTGAAAGGGACGTCAGGGGACCTCAGGTCCAGCCACCTCAATTTGTAGATCTATGAATTAATTATGGGAAATAATGGGGACTTTCTAGGGTGGGATAACTGCTAGATTCAATATTTTATTGGTCTAGAACTTGTATCTATCATTCTGTGAATTTTTAAAAATTAATTTATTTCATTCTACACTTAAGAAATAAAACAAGCATTTCCATAACAACATGGGATAGAAAAAGAGATTGCACCAGAAGCCACAGATCTGCTACGTACGACTTGCTGTTCCTTTCAAGCATACAACAAATGTTCATGTAACTTGCTTTTTTTGCCCCTCCACACCTCCCCTCCCTGCCACACTTAGAGATGGCTAACATTAGACACAAATCTGTGTGTGTCTCTGTGTATTATATATAATATACAAATAAAATATATATATATAAACACACATATATGTTTATATACACATATGTGTGTATATACATAAATACGTAATTCAGTTTTTTCTGGATGCAAACAACATTTTTCTTCATAGGCTCTTTGTGGCTAATTTGGGAGTTTATAATAATCAGAATGATTTCATTGCTCAAAGTTGTACTTAAAACAATACTGCTGTTCCTGTATACAGCGTTCTCTTGGTTCTGCTCATTTGCTCTTCATTTTTTCATGGAAGTCTCTCCATGCTTTTCAAAAATCATTAAGCTTATAATTTCTTATAGGAGACTAATTCCATCATGAACATACACCACAATTTGTTTAGCCATTCTCTGATTGGCAGGCATCCTCTCATAGCCATTCTCTGATTGGCAGGCATCCTCTCATAGCCATTCTCTGATTGGCAGGCATCCTCTCAACTTCAGGTCTTTGCCACCACAAACAGAGCTGCTATAAATATTTTAGAACATACTGGTTCTTTTCTTTTTTCCCTAATCGTCCTAGTGGTATTACTGGATTAAAGGGTACAGTCAGTGTAATAAGTCTTTGGGCATAATGCCAAATCCCTCTACAAAATGGTTGGATCAGCCTACAGATCCACCAATAATGAATTAAAGTCCCAATTTTTCTACATCCCTGCCAACATTTGTCACTTTCCCCTTCTATCGTTTTAGCCAATCTGATAGGTATAAAGTGATGTCTCAAGGTTATTTTAATTTTCATTTCTCTAATCAATAATGCTATACAGCATTTTTCATATGGCTATAAGTCATTTTGATTTCTTTATCAGAAAACTGCCTGTTCATATCCTTTGACCATTTATCAATTGGGGAATGACTTACATTCTTATAGATTTAACAAAGCTCTTGACATATTTGAGATATGAGGCCTTTATCTGAGGAACTGTCTCTAAAATTTTTTCCCCAGTTTTCTGCTTTCCTTTTGATCTTGTACGAAACCTTTTTAATTTAATGTAATCAAAAAGAGATCTGTATAGGAAGATTTTAAACATATACATATTTGTGTCTAATGGTGGCCATGTCTAGGGTGGGGTGGGGGAGGGAAGAAAAAAAGTAATTTATGTGATAACCTTATTATATATTTAAAAGGAGTAGCAGATGGTACATAATAGATTTGCAGTTTCATGTACAATCATTTTTTTATTATTATGCTGTTATGGGAATGTTTATTTTATGCTAGAAATGAAAATTTTGATAAATAAAAATTAAAAAATTGATCCAGTGGCACTTCCCAAGTTTCTGAGACAGGGCTACAGCCCAGAGAAGAGTGACTACCATGAAAATGACTACAAGCCCTTTGGAACAAAGCCCTTCCCAACAAAATTTCTACCCTAGCCTGCCCAGATGTTAAACAGGGACCTCCTTCTGAGGGCTCTGTGACTCACCTTGCTTTCTGCTGAATAACAATCATCTGGGCACATTCTCAGTAAGAAAGGAGGAGATAAATTATCTCACTAGGAAGAGAAAGTTCTGTTCTCTTTCTAGCTCTTTTCAAAATATTTTGGAGTTTCCCAGAGTTAAGGCCCAGCAAGCAGGGTGTGCCCTGAGCTTGGCATAACAACAATACTTTGCTCTCTGAATGATCTCACCCTCTGGTAAAGTGTATTGTACCATGTGTTCACTCCCTCTATTTCCCAGGGATCTGAGTGCCAACATCCATTACATCTCTGACATGCTCATAATCCCTGTTTCTTCTACTGTACTCCTGTTCCCATCACATTCTGTACTGCAAAGAGTAGTAACAACTCACCAAGACTTGGGACAATACTGTTCTAACAGGACCTGTGGGCACAGTAATTCAGGACCTAAAAATGACACAGTCCAGCCCAGTTGTGTACATTAGCATGGCCTGTACCCCAACATGTTAAGCCCTCCTTCTCAGGATGGGGAGGCTTCCTTTAGTGAAAGTTACTTTCCTCACTCTGAAGTAAATTATACCTCTATTTTGTGTCCAGATATACCTACATCCAGCCTACTCTGTTCAGCTCAGGCCATTTCTAAGTTAGAGATTGATTCGGTCTGGACTGCATTCAAAACTCCCTTGACACTATTCATCTTGCTTTCACCATAGAAATCTGGGAAAAGCCATGAGCATACTGTTCCTTCTCAGAGTGGCTTCTTTGTGATCTTGACAAATGGCTCCCATTGAGCCCCAAGGTAAGAGCCTCTCTTTCCTTCAAGTCCACTAGACATGTTCTTTTGTCCTCTCCTTCTATATTCAAGTCTCTGACAAACACATGGTCCGATTTGCCAAAGCTAAACCTTTGAATTGTTATCTTTGTCATTCAAAATCAACTTCTGCATCTAAGCTGCTGTGTTATACAAAGATCTTCAGAAGTGGCATCTCTGCCAGCTTGTTTACAAACCAGTCTTGCTTTCCTCCACTCTTTTTCTATTTCTTGGATTCATCTTGAGTAGCAGCAGGGTAAGCCTAGAAGAGCAGTCTTAGGAGAACTGGAGTGGAGTCTCTCCGTGGAGGCTGGAGGATGACTTGTCAGGGCTGTTTGAAAAGGGATTTCTGTTGAGGACTGGACTGGACCAAATGCCCTCTGAGATCCTTCCCACTGCTGAGCCCATGATTGTCAGGGGATTGACAGCTCAGAAGATGGAGCATCAGGTGTGAGTAACAGCCACAAGGCCAGGAGAGCTGAGTCACACACTTCATGGGGGAGGGGGAAGGGTAAGAAGACTGGAGCTCAGGAGAGAGAGCAGGGCTGAGAATCATCTTCATAGACATGGTAAGTGAATCCATGGGAGTCGAGATCTCTAAGTGAGAGAGCACAGAAGAAGAAGAAGAGAAGAGTACTCAGGAATAAGTCTTGGGGGGCACCACAATTAGAGAGTGAGACTTTGATGGAGATCCAGGCAAGGAGCCTGAGGAGGAGCTGCCAGATAGCAGGACCAGGGAGAGCAATTTCACTAAGCTCTAGAGAGCAGAGAGAGTCAAGGAGGAGACGGGCACTCGATTTTATAGTCAGTCACAGGCATAGACTTCTCAAAAATATTCACAGAGGTTTACCAGTACCAGATCTTAAACTATATTATAAGGCAATAATTACCAAAACTATCTGGTACTGGCTGAAATACAAAGGAAGATCAGTGGAACAGAACAGACATAGCAGCAATGGCCTCCCCAGCTGTTCAGTCTGCCTCTTAGGCCTTGTGGTCAAAGGAGCTGATTAATGTCTGACCCAGTGGCACTTCCCAAGTTTCTGAGACAGCTTGAGAAGAGTGACCACCATGAAAATCAACATTAGCCCTTCCCAGAAAAAACCCTTCCAACAAAAGGCTCCCAGAGCCCACCCAGAGGTTAGACAGAGACCTCCTTTTGAGAGCTCTGTGACTCACCTTTGTTTCTGCTATATAACAAATAATCTTCTTGGCTTCTTCTTGGTCAGAAAGGAGGAGAGAATTCATTCCATAAGGAGGAGAAGGTGTGTTCTCTGGACCCAGAGGACCTGTTTTCAAATCCTGCCTCTGAGGCTTACTGCATGTGGGTCCTTCTGAAGTTCCTTTGTCCTCCATAAGCCTTAATTTTCATATCTACAAATGGAGTGAGCTTGACCTGGTGTCTTCTGAGGTCCCTTTTAGTTATTGATCTAGACAGCTAAGCAGCTTGGAGTCAGAACGATCCAAGGTCAAATTTGAATTTCAACTGTTGTAGGCTAAATCAACATCTTCCTTCGGCTTATGCAAACAGAAAACAGAAATAACTGCTCTGAGTCTCAATTGAAATGTGAAATGTGGAAGTACTGCTGTCAGAAACTGGATGTTGCAACGTTGATGCCTGTTTAAAGAAATACTAACTGCAGTTATTATCATCATTAGTATCAATTATTGTTATTATTATCATTATGCTATCACTATTACTAGGGTTGTCGTGACAATCAGTGAGACACTTATTGTGAAGTGCTTACCACAGCACATGGCATACAGTAGGTGCTGTGGAGATGTGAGCAAGTTTTATTATTACCACGTGGCAGGCATCGTGGTGAGCACTGGGGGGTTAAAAAAAAAGCCACAACATGGGCATTGCCCTCAGGGAGCTCACACTGGAATGGGAGAAATAACCTGCAAAGAGCTACAGATGACAGATAGAGAAAACGCCAATGGAAGCCTTCAGGGAAACCAGCAGCAAGTGAGAGGTGGGGAGAACCAGGGCTGGCTTTCTTCAGAAAAAGAACTGAGCTGAGTCTGGAATGAAGCCAAAGCAGTCAAGAGAGATGAGGAGGGACGGCACTCCAGGCAGGAGGTACAGGCAGTGTAAAGATGCGGAGGTAGGGAAGATGGAGAGCAGCGTCATGTGTGCGAAGAGTAAGGCCAGTGTGACTGCACAGAGTACATATGAAGTGTCATATTTTTTTTAAAGGGGCCATCCTTGACTCACTTCTTCAAGAGGCCTATTCACTGAATAGGTGTTGCCTCACTCAAAGTGAGAACTTGGAAAGACCTTAGTTTGCAAAGGTCAAGGTCTCCCACTGCATCCTGGACCATCTCCAGTTGTCCTGATCTATATCAGGCTGCTGGACTCAGGTGGCTCTTTAGGAGAAAAGGAGGCAGGTGACTCTGCGTAGCTCTCGCTCACTTAAATCCAATTCAATTGCAAGTCATGTCATCATCTTCCTGATGTCATGGTCCTCTTCAAGATAGAAGGGCAAACTACCATATATATGAAGGAAAGTCAGGTGATAAGCCTGGAATGGGAGGTTGGGGCCAGGTTTGGAGGGTGTAAAAAGATAGCGGCATTTGTGTTTGAGCCTAGAAGTACCAGGGAGCCACCAAAGACTCTTGGCCAGGGAGTGACACAGTCAGACTTCTAGAAAACACTTTGGCAGCTGAGTGGAGGATGGTTGGGAAGGGGAAAGACTTGACATGAGACCAGTGAGAGGTAGGTGACTAGCCTAGGGTCACATATCCAAGGTGTGTGAAAATAAAAATGGGAAAGGATCCATAAGAGTCAAATTAAAGAGAAGAATAAAAAAGTGATATAACTAATAAAATGTTAAGAAATATATTTTAAAATCCAAGACCCACGTAGGACCTACCTGGTACCTGAAGGTCAAAGCTGGTTTCATTGTATAAGGGGCACGTCTGGAAATAACATGCGCACTGGCTGGTGTCAGAGAGCTGGACCTGATGGATGATCATGGTCACCTTCCCTTCAGCCATGTCCTCTCTCAGCATCTTTGTCCTCCCTTGGAATGCAGGGGCCTGGACTTCCTCCATCTCCTGGCCCATGCGGTACAAGTGCACAACCAGTGGGCCTCTGACCCACTTCATAGCCATTCCCTTAGCATCAAACTTAGGGGAGAGATGACAGAAGAGCTAGGCATCTTCCCCCACCCAGGCCCGGATAGGCTGGACCAGAGGGCCAGATACTGTGAATGTGCCTGTGTGCAGAACCAGGGACAAAGAGCAGAGAATCAGAGAACACTGGGGTGGACGAGTTAATATGGGCTTCAGAGCAGGGGTCAGGGCAGCCCAGGATCAGGAAGCTCTCAATGTGTTCCTGCTCAGGGGCTGCTCTGCTTTTAGCCCCTCTTTGGTGAAATCACTTTCCATTCTATGACACATCTGTGAGATGGAGACAAGACATTCTCCCCCTTCACTACCTTGTATGTTCAGGGAGCCAGGGCAGCTGATTGGGGGCTGAAAGTTTGGGGTGGAGGCAGGAAGCAACAGCTGCTGTCACTGGCCCCACAGAGGCACCAGCCTCTGCCCCACCCCTGAAGCTGCCCATGGATAATAAAAACCAGGCGTCTGGGCTGCTGTTGGACTTGCCCTCATTCTGTGGCTGTGCAGCTGAGTGTTTTAGAAGGAGGCTGGGCCAGAGAGCTGTGGGAGACCTCAGTGGGACAGAGCAGTGCAGCTCAGTGGGGGAGGAGGAGCGTAATTATGGGAATATGGGGAGCTTCCAGGGTGTCACTGTAGTGATGGCATCCTGGGTTACTGGGCCTGGAAGGAAAGGCTTTGAGTTCAAATATTAGCTCTGCTAATGACTAGCTGTGTGACTTTGGAAAATTCACTTGTCTTCTCTGGGCCTCTGTTAAGTACAATAATAGGATTGAACTCAATGATCGCTGTGGTTTTTTCAGTTCTAAAACTATGATTCTACCTTTGTATTCCCTTCAGGGCAGCTAGGTGGCACAGTGGATAGAGCACCAGCCTTGGAAACAAGACCATTTGTCTTCATGAATTCAAATCTAATCTTGAATATTTACTAACTCTCTTACCTTGGACAAGTCATTTAACCCTGTTTGCCTCAATTTCCTCATCTGTAAAGTGAGCTAGAGAAGTAAATGATAAACCAGTCCAATATCTTTACCAAGAAAACCCAAAATGGGGTCACAAAGATTTAGACATGACTGAAATCAGTCAACAATAACAAAATTCCGTTTGGTTGTACTTGTCAATGGGGAGAATCTCCCTGCAGCTCTTCGGTACAGAGTCCACAAAAAAAATCTAGATTTTTTTCCTCTTTGTCAGAAGGGGAGAAACAGCTGTGCCCTCAGTGACACATTCTAACTTTCCTATTTTCTTGGGTGGGTCTGGATCAGAAGAGATGGGACCGTTGCATCTGTGATGACATCTATTCTGACACCCTCACTCACACACAGGTCAAGAGGGTGGGTCCTAGTATGGACACCAGCACCCTCAGAAGTCTGCCAATCAGAGGGAGGCGGCAGTGGGGAATGGTCAGTGCTCCTGGGATGCAGATTGCATCAGATACTCATCTCATTGACGATGCTGGTCCCGAGCCTCCTGAGCCTCAGATGATATGTAGAGGACATCCCAGCTGTAAAGCTTTGTGATTCTCTGGTTCTCTCTAGTGTCCTGTTGAAAGTCCAGGGAGATCTCTCCTGGACGTGATTGAGCAGTACTTTCGTTGCTGGCAGGTTTACCTTACAGAGGCAAAGATGTGGACCCTCTGCTTCTGTTTCTTCTTCTTCTTGTTCCTAGATTTGTTTCAGTGCCAATCAAAAAGGATCTTGGTTACTGTAAGGTTCATTCTCTGTGTCCCAATCTACAAACAAGTCCTGGAGAGTTGCTGGAATTTCAGAGACTAGGTTTGGGAAGAGGACCCAAAGATGGACCTGGGGAACATAGACTCTTAAGCAGCTATCTCATAGAAGTTGTGAGGGATTTTTTATATTTCAGTCAGATGGTTATGCGGAACGAAGCATCCCCAGGAAACACTGGACCAAGACAATTTTTAAAAATAGCCAATCTTAGTTTGCAATATTCTGATGACTTTTGTTGAATGCCTGGCTAAGTATGGTGGCTCAGAATCCCTGCTCCCAGAGGATGAGGTTACTTGGAATAATGGAATTCCTTGGAATTCCCAGGAGTTTCTTGGCTGTGAGCTTAAATCTCTAAAACTCATCCTGGAGAGTGCCCAGCAATCTCCCACAGATCTGTGTGAAGGATTCTTTGTCTTTTTCGATTGACTGCAAAAGAATGATTCAAGGGGGCAAGACACTAAACTAGCTGAATCAGGCATCATCGAAGTTCCTGCCTTTATTTTATACACACACACACACACACACACACACACACACACACACACACACATTGTATACATGTGTATGTATGTATGTGTCTATATATACACATATATACATGCTTACACATGTACGTATGTGTGACATACATATATTAAGTATCTAGTATATATTACATAGAAATAATATCTGCTTATATAAATATATTTGCCAGACACAAAAGCATGGATTTTTGTGGGTTATATTCCAGGCTGGCAAAAATTCCCTGGTTTTCCTATGTTATGAATATTTATTGTGACCTGTTAGCAGAACAGAGAGAAATTTAAAGTGCCAAAGTTTAGATGGATCCTCAGAGATATTGAAAGCCCTTCCATATTGCTCTCATGGACTCCTTTTATATTGTACAAGAATATCAAAAGTGTCCATTCTCTTCAAGATGTGAACAGAACGATGACTTAGTCTCCCACATTACTGACAAGTTGGAGTCCCTAGTATGAGAGATCCTTCTAGTCTACGTCTCCTCCCTTCAGGGCCCAGTAACATAAGGGCTTGAACTGGATTGAGGTCCCTTCCAACTTCACAGTTCTCTATTACTATATTGCAGACAGTAGCAGAGGTGCCTAGGAGGAGGACAATGACCTTAACATCAGAGACCATGCCTTGTCTAAACTTTGTACCTCCACTAGTGTTACAACACAGGCCTCTGAGTGCAATAGGGGCTAATAAGTGTTTCTTGAATTGATGTTTAATTGAATTGAAACATCAGTGGGTAGTGATCTGTGGAGGCCACAGTGGCAGAGACTAAAGTAAACTTACCTGAGCTAGGAATACCAGAAAGTGCAAGGATGAGGTGTATGACGTTTAAAGGTAGAACGAGGCTGTTGTACAAAGCTGGCTGGTGATTCCACTTCATGGTCCAGATCATGAATGTCAGGAACCCCACCAGTTAGATGCTAAGAATAATTAAGGATGTTGGCAGTGGAGAGCAGGATAATAGAGCCAGAAAACAATTCCCACTGACCTCTTAGCCCTAGGAACCAGGAGTGTTGTCCCAGAGTCTGGGCAACCATACATTAAAGGGCACAGAGCTGTGATCCAGCTTGTGTCCATCCCCCCTCATCTCCCCTCCCTCATACAGATCTCTCATGTCAGGCTGGTCCCCACATACCCCATATTCATTTCA